AGCGTCTTCCGAGTGTTCCGTGGAAAATGGATCAAAATTACGACTAAATTGGTTGCCATCGCGATCGCGAAGTTGGCGACCGTTCAATATCGCGTCACCGTCGGCCTAACCTTTCGAGGGCAGTGGTATTATCGTTAACTGCCCGCCTAGCTTGTTTACTGTCTAATTCATTATCAAGTTGACACTAATCATTTTGGTTTTGCTATTTACTATAGGCCAGTGGTTCTCAAACTTTTTAAAAAGTTATGCATAACGGCCCCCGTACAATTTTTCTGATGACTCGCGGTCCACTAAAGAAATGGGAGCAAACAGCAACGCGGTATATCAAGCATTAATATATTGAATGACATTGACACAGTTCAATGAGATGGGTGTTCTTGCTTGGCTCCAGTTCTTCTATCTTGGGTTCTGTTTTGGATGATGCAACTTTCATATCGTAACTCACGTCAATTCTGTTTCAACATTTTGTTTCAATAGCGAGTAATGAAGAAAAAGCTGCCTCACATTTGTAAGTTGTTGCAAATGGAATGATCATTTTTAGGGCTATCTCAGCGACATCAGGATAAGACTGTGGTTTTTGTTTTCCTCCGGAACTTATCACAGCTAAACCAAAATTTGAATCGTTATATCTAGATACGCTCTGATCTCCTGACTTACCACGTTTATCAACGTTTGTTACGTAATAATGTCTTCGGTAGAGCGTGTCGTGCTTTGGAGAAACACTGTAAAAGCATGACATCAAAATTTTACTTCAAATCAAAGTGCTTCTGTGCCGAGGTTAAAGTTGTCTCGCGGTCCCCCTAAAATCGCTTGGCAGACCCCTAAGCGACCGCGGACCCCAGTTTGTGAACCAATGCCATAGGCAAACGTGTAAAGGTAAAAAGTCAGCTCTTAGCCCCCCATCGCTGCCTGATTTTACTCTGAAATGCTGAAAAAATCACTCATGTTCGCTAAACTTGATTCAGCAGATAAATAAACTGCAGGTCTGCAGCTCGCGAAATTGCAGCAAGAACTTCTATCTCCCTTGTTACGTAACATCAAAGGCATTATGTAATAGAAAGTGAACGACATAGAAAAGAAAAATGAATACCGGTATATTGATTCATATACAGAGCATTTGCAATATGTAAAACATTCATTCATATTTTAGTTATGCTTTACACAATTTTGTTAGTTTTGACGACTTCAGTGCGTCGCGGCACACCCTTTGGGAACCGCTGAATTGCACCATTTTTACCCTTCCATCATTTGGTGTTCCGCGAGGCGAGATAAAAAAACGTAAGTGTTCCGTGGTCAAAAAAGTTTGGGAAACGCTGGTCTATATCAATCTCACTTTTCATCTGCTCATTTTTTTCATTCCGTTATTCCTAATTTTATAAACTCTATCAAAAGGTCCAAAAAAATCAACCGTCAAAAATCTCGTGGAGCTAATAATTGACTTGCAAAATAATTAGTATGTTTTATTTTCTGCAGTTTTAGAAAACTTGAAATAGACGTGATAGATAACTTAAATGATATTGATACCATTGTATTTGTAAACTTCAAAGACAACTCTTTCTCGTAGCACTCGTTATGTTTCCCAAGATATAAATGTAACAAAATAACGTTTTGAAAATCAAAATAGAAGCACTATTACTTAGAAAATTGAAAAAGATAGTATAAAAAGTTCATATTACAAAACTTTTGAAAACCGTTAGTTAATGGAATTTTTTGAAATTGAGTTTTAGGCAAACAAGAAACAATTCCATATTTATTTATATTATTCATTCAAATCTTAGATACGTTCTCAATAAAAAATACATGACTATTTTAGTACAGATTACCGTAATATAATATATAGTATAGCATTTTCGTAATAAATTTTATGCTTTATTAGCAAAATGTCGTCGCATTTCGTTACCATTTTCTTGGACTAATTTACATACTCTCAAGTAACCGCGGGCGAAATATATATTTACACCATAGAATTGCAAGATCGGAAGTAAATTATCGTGAAATTATTACATTCACGTTTTCAAGATGAAAATTCCCTATTTTTCTGATAAGAAAATTTACTAGTTTTTGTAATTTTAATAACTTTCGATATTATACGTGATGATGCATGTATTTTTATGTAGAGATTGGGTTATAAAAAATGAATGTTGTTGTTGATTTTTTTTTTTAAATTATCAATGCAAATACTTATACTTAAACATTGCTGAATCATTCATACAACTGTGAATTAATGTGTTTGTTAGAAAACGTATTATTTTGCAGTTTTTGGACACGTTTATTTGTTTTGAGCAACTTTTTATTATGATCAGTTAAGAATTGCGATGTTAATCATTCAACGTTAATATTTACTTTTAATTGAAAGTATACTGTGATAAACAATGGATAGATGGACTGTAATTCTGAATCTAAAAAGTTGGTAATTGATAAGCGTCATGAGATCTTGCTGCCATTTCAGATTTACCAATTTTTAAAAAGTTTGTGAAAAAAAAATCCGCTTCATCAACTGATTGGATTCATGTTATATGGTTACGAGATATTATTTTTGAATTGTTGTTACAAAGAAAGTAAAATACAAATGTCATATTTTCAATTTTTTTGATGAAAGCATTTCTTCCCCAAATAACTTTATCATATTTTGAAGTTGTTTTCAATATATGCAGTATATTTTAGTTTTTGTAATTTGAACAATTGCTGATAAACATGAGGTTATCAAATTCTACCTGCTGCCATTGCCTGAACCATTTATGACGAACCCCGCGACATTTTATTTATGCGGCCGCCATTTTGATTCATATTGTGAGGTACTGTTATTACAAAACATGCCATTGGCACCATTTAAAATGTCACAAATAAAGTTTAATGGCCCTTTCTGTTTACACGTGTATATGTACAATGTTCACAGCTCATAAAAGACGGACAACGCCGAAAATAAAAGATTTACTGTAAGAATTCGGAACCCTGCTATAGAATTAGAAAGCATTCTTGTTTGATCAAACCTGTTATATAAAAAAATATTTCATCATGAAATGACTTAATAACGCAAAATTCTGACTAACTGTTGATGAAAGTCATGCGTCTTTATTATGATCGTAATATTCTACATACAAATAGATTGGTTTGTGTTATATGCCTGCATGCCCTCTTTTTGTACGATAACAATTGATGAGTTTTTTACTAAATACAAATAAATTAGATTGTTTTTCAGATACCTCCATATAAGCCTCATTAAATTATTTTAATAATTAATATTACTTATTCCCATAAAAGTAATTTAAGATCATATAACAGGGCTGCACAATACAAATATGTTGCACATTATATATTAGTTATTTTATTGGACAGTTTATCCAGCAAACGGAACGAACAGAGAAAATATATACCATTATGTAATATGGTTTGCGTGTGAATTGTTGTATGTATGAATCTTTGTTGGAGTCTTGTTATCGAAAGATCTGTATTTTCGCGACCGAATCCCATGCATTGTTTCACGGTGTCGAAGTTTTAATCATGTGACCCGATATTGAATCTCTAAAGTTTTGTTCTTTTAGTTGCCTTCAAGCTTCGCGCACTACTTTAGAATCATTTTACCGTTTTTTGCATAATTCGAGAAAAAATTTTTTACTAATTGATACACGTTATTTAGTTGTTTTACATTTTACAAAATGCAAGTAGTGATTTATTTTTAAATTTTATATCTTTGTTGAAATCATTGCTGAATTGGTATATTTGTACGTTAAAGCTTTTATTTATGAGATTTTACAATTAACTTGTTGAACAAAACATTTATTTCATAAAAAAGAAATTACCTACCAATTTAGCCAAGTTTATGTAATAAAATCTTATTTCTAAAATACATGTTTCTACCATATATTGAGATATAGACTCTGAAAAACTAGAATTGTATTGTTTTCACAATTTGCTACGAGAAGAGTCAAAAACTTTAAAAAATATTCTCAATAATAATGACAAAACGCAAGATGTTTTTAGGAATTATTATTTATTGATAGTTCTTGTTGAAGTGATTTAAAAAATTAAAATTGGTTCTTAGATAGCAGCCTATAGTATTTATTAAATTTGTCAGTGTGTTTAAACATTGTTCTATACTAGGATGGATATGAATTTCATTTCGTCATATTCTACAGTTACATAATGGATTACAATACTTTAATATCGGTGGGCGTAAACTTCGTGCTAGTACTAAATAAATTGCGTGTTCAACCGATAATTTTACGTAAAATGTAACGTACTTCTAGAAACATTCAAAGTGTCACGTTTATAGGAATCGGGTAGCACGGAAATCTAATTCAAACGAGAAAATAAATATATGGTATAGTTTATCTCAAAAGTCAACTTCGCTTTTTGATTTTCTGTTAAATGAATTGACATATAGAGGTCTTGACCCGATAGCCATTATTTTTTAATTCCAAGAATCGGTAATAGGGAATTAAGTATAAACTAAAGTTCCAGCCCGAACATTTCAGCAATTGATTGTTTGATCAAATTTATCGCCCTAAATAATATTTCATTTGGTGGACTAAAAAAATTCTATAAAAGATAATTTTCGTTGATAAGTTTAACATATACGCAAAGTTTATGATCATTTAGGATATATATAGCTATCATTGAAACTTTGTATGTTTGAAATCTCTACTCTTGGTCACCACAAGAAGGATAAAAAGAAAATGGTTTTAAATGATTTCAGGAACAGTTTTTTTTTTATTTCTCCGATCCCGTTTTAATGTATCTAGCTTATGTTGTGCTCCGGAGGTATTGTGCTGAGAGCTAATAATATACTGCAATGCTGACTGAACATTGAATAGGCTAATGAAATTAAACAATATGCTACCAAACACTCTTCGTCATTTGTGAAAAGTCTGCATCTAAACTACCGTTTTATCAAACCATTCATACTGAAAACAACGACCAAATATTTTAACACAGCAAAAATTTTATTTCTTTTTTCAAACTAATTTTTATACGGACAAATTTACAGAAAGTTATTGAAATTGAGTCTAATTGCCTTTTGATTATATAAAAAAAACAGATAATGATGATGATCAAATAACTATTTTGTTGCGATGATAATCTCTTTTGATGTAGATTGCTTCATATTAATTTGGAAACTTGAATATCTTGTCATCCAGTATGACAGTCTTTTTAGCACAAATGCAACCATCTGGAATCTGAAGAAATAGAATAAACACTGGTTTAATATACAGTAATCAACCTTTAGGAATCAGAACACAAAATAATACTCACCCTGATGCGGACATATCTTTCTGCTGGTTCTCTGGAAATTTTGGTTTGAATTTTGGCTTTCCTCCATATCATCTTGACTCTCGCTTGACATGTACAATCTTTAACCCATAAACTGCATCTCTTATTGTATACCCTAAAATTTAAGAAACAAGGTAGATTTTTTATACGATTTTAAATGGAAATATATTTTTGTTTTGTAAAAAAAGCATATCCTCAAATCAAATGTCTATGTATAATTTGATAATTGACTTACTCGCACTCGTCAACTGCCTCGTAAATACCTCCGATCAAGTCGACTTCACTCGGGGGATCAGTTGACAAAAAACCTTTTGTAATTTTGATTCTGCATTTTTTCGTTGGGCAGAAATTAGTCGAGGTTGTAACTTGGCAATATTCAGGATTCTTAATTCTGAAAAAATGATTGAACGTTAACATGCATAATTAAAAGATCACATACGATACGTAGAACTTTTTAAGAACTCACGTTCTCTAATAATTATTATAGAAATCTCCATTCAAAATAAGAAGAAAGAATTAAATCACTGTTCCAAATTTTCTTTTTACATTAAAGCATTTTATAAACCAATAATATGAACGAACTTACGGAACATTTTTCATTTGACATTCTGGTAGAGGATTCGGATTTTCCACGTCCAGAGCCATGCAATATGCTATAACACAGCAATAAACAAAAATCGTCAGAAATCTCATATTGATAGATAGTTGGTATCATGAGATACAATAACTTTGGAAATATGATTTTCTTGCTCTTAATCTATTCTTTATATAGTTTCCGGCAACTTTCTTTTTTTAATTTTTTATGAGTCATAAGTTTTCATGTTTGTGATAACATTTAATATCTGATTTTTGTTTGAGTTTAAAAAAGATTTATATAAAAAAGAATTAACATTGAAACTACTTGGGAAAGTACCACAGCATGTTACAAACACCTTCTTGAGTTAGTTTTGATAATGTAAGTTAAAGTAGTATTGTCAAAGATCTAATCTTGTAAAATTTCTGGTTCAAAAACGTGATCAAAATAAATGATTTTATGGTACCTCAATCCTTTTCTAAATTGACTTTTTTGCAAAGTTGTGTAATTTTTGTGTTTTCGAACACGTTTTCATTTAAAGTTATTTATGCGAAACTCTAAATATAAACTGTATATTTAAAAAAGTTCAGTAATGATTAATGAATTTAAAATAGTTGGAAGACAAAAACATGTAATATTCCTATATTACCATCATGTGTTGTTTAAATTATTCCAAACGGCAAATATTTATCGAAACAGTTCTCATTTGAAAATGTTCGAGTGATGATTGCACAATTGGATTTTTTCCTAATCTATGCATTCTATAATTTAACGGGCCTTTAAAATATCCACTTATTGTCTCACGTTTATCGGGAAACAGGAGCCTGGTAAAACACAGACATTTTTTGACACTCTCAAGAGGATAGAAAAACAAAATATTTATTCTGGGCACTGAAATAAATATTCCATCATATTACTTTCAGAAATAGAATTTTTTTCCTCGGATGTTTCAAATTTATCAACTTTTTAGGTGAACAATAAAGATGACGAGTGGATTTGACAACACTATTTATATTTTATTCACTTGTCAAAATACTTCTATTTCACGATAAAAAATACACAGAGGTGTTTCAATAATAGCATATATTGATAAATACCAAATTTGTACCTAAATTATCAAATTTTTTTTTTCAGTAAAATTCCCTTAATTTATGATCACATCTACATATATTATGAACAATCTCAAAATACATCGACCTACTGTAATTTCTTTAAACAAAATTGATTATATCTAGATTAAGAAGCCGATGATCAATTCATGCTTTAATCTGACTTCATTTCAAAATACTTTTGCATATTGCCAAAATTAGGTGAAATATTATCAACATCCGTAATGTTATTATTATTTATTTCTTCTTTTTGGTTTCATGATGTTTTATTTTACCAAATTTTAAATACTAGTCCCGGTATATTGACTATCTAATTATGATGATTAACTATTGTCTATATTAGCGTTTCCCAAACTGTGTTCCGCGGAACACTAGTGTTCGGTGAGCGTCTTCCGAGTGTTCCGTGGAAAATGGATCAAAATTACGACTAAATTGGTTGCCATCGCGATCGCGAAGTTGGCGACCGTTCAATATCGCGTCACCGTCGGCCTAACCTTTCGAGGGTAGTGGTATTATCGTTAACTGTCCGCCTAGCTTGTTTACTGTCTAGTTCATTATCAAGTTGACACTAATCATTTTAGTTTTGCTATTTACTATAAACTGCAGGTCTGCAGCTCGCGAAATTGCAGCAAGAACTTCTATCTCCCTTGTTACGTAACATCAAAGGCATTATGTAATAGAAAGTGAACGACATAGAAAAGAAAAATGAATACCGGTATATTGATTCATATACAGAGCATTTGCAATATGTAAAACATTCATTCATATTTTAGTTATGCTTTACACAATTTTGTTAGTTTTGACGACTTCAGTGCGTCGCGGCACACCCTTTGGGAACCGCTGAATAGGCCAGTGGTTCTCAAACTTTAAAAAGTTATGCATAACGGCCCCCGTACAATTTTTCTGATGACTCGCGGTCCACTAAAGAAATGTGAGCAAACAGCAACGCGGTATATCAAGCATTAATATATTGAATGACATTGACACAGTTCAATGAGATGGGTGTCCTTGCTTGGCTCCAGTTCTTCTATCTTGGGTTCTGTTTTGGATAATGCAACTTTCATATACTAACTCACGTCAATTCTGTTTCAACATTTTGTTTCAATAGCGAGTAATGAAGAAAAAGCTGCCTCACATTCGTAAGTTGTTGCAAATGGAATGATCATTTTTAGGGCTATCTCAGCGACATCAGGATAAGACTGTGGTTTTTGTTTTCCTCCGGAACTTATCACAGCTAAACCAAAATTTGAATCGTTATATCTAGATACGCTCTGATCTCCTGACTTACCACGTTTATCAACGTTTGTTACGTAATAATGTCTTCGGTAGAGCGTGTCGTGCTTTGGAGAAACAATGTAAAAGCATGATATCAACATTTTACTTCAAATCAAAGTGCTTCTGTGCCGAGGTTAAAGTTGTCTCGCGGTCCCCCTAAAATCGCTTCGCAGACCCCTAAGCGACCGCGGACCCCAGTTTGTGAACCAATGCCATAGGCAAACGTGTAAAGGTAAAAAGTCAGCTCTTAGCCCCCCATCGCTGCCTGATTTTACTCTGAAATGCTGAAAAAATCACTCATGTTCGCTAAACTTGATTCAGCAGATAAATAAACTGCAGGTCTGCAGCTCGCGAAATTGCAGCAAGAACTTCTATCTCCCTTGTTACGTAACATCAAAGGCATTATGTAATAGAAAGTGAACGACATAGAAAAGAAAAATGAATACCGGTATATTGATTCATATACAGAGCATTTGCAATATGTAAAACATTCATTCATATTTTAGTTATGCTTTACACAATTTTGTTAGTTTTGACGATTTCAGTGCGTCGCGGCACACCCTTTGGGAACCGCTGAATTGCACCATTTTTACCCTTCCATTTTTTGGTGTTCCGCGAGGCGAGATAAAAAAACGTAAGTGTTCCGTGGTCAAAAAAGTTTGGGAAACGCTGGTCTATATCAATCTCACTTTTCATCTGCTCATTTTTTTCATTCCGTTATTCCTAATTTTATAAACTCTATCAAAAGGTCCAAAAAAATCAACCGTCAAAAATCTCGTGGAGCTAATAATTGACTTGCAAAATAATTAGTATGTTTTATTTTCTGCAGTTTTAGAAAACTTGAAATAGACGTGATAGATAACTTGAATGATATTGATACCATTGTATTTGTAAACTTCAAAGACAACTCTTTCTCGTAGCACTCGTTATGTTTCTCAAGATATAAATGTAACAAAATAACGTTTTGAAAATCAAAATAGAAGCACTATTACTTAGAAAATTGAAAAAGGTAGTATAAAAAGTTCATATTACAAAACTTTTGAAAACCGTTAGTTAATGGAATTTTTTGAAATTGAGTTTTAGGCAAACAAGAAACAATTCCATATTTATTTATATTATTCATTCAAATCTTAGATACGTTCTCAATAAAAAATACATGACTATTTTAGTACAGATTACCGTAATATAATATATAGTATAGCATTTTCGTGATAAATTTTATGCTTTATTAGCAAAATGTCGTCGCATTTCGTTACCATTTTCTTGGACTAATTTACATACTCTCAAGTAACCGCGGGCGAAATATATATTTACACCATAGAATTGCAAGATCGGAAGTAAATTATCGTGTAATTATTACATTCACGTTTTCAAGATGAAAATTCCCTATTTTTCTGATAAGAAAATTTACTAGTTTTTGTAATTTTAATAACTTTCGATATTATACGTGATGATGCATGTATTTTTATGTAGAGATTGGGTTATAAAAAATGAATGTTGTTGTTGATTTTTTTTTTAAATTATCAATGCAAATACTTATACTTAAACATTGCTGAATCATTCATACAACTGTGAATTAATGTGTTTGTTAGAAAACGTATTATTTTGCAGTTTTTGGACACGTTTATTTGTTTTGAGCAACTTTTTATTATGATCAGTTAAGAATTGCGATGTTAATCATTCAACGTTAATATTTACTTTTTATTGAAAGTATACTGTGATAAACAAATGATAGATGGACTGTAATTCTTAATCTAAAAAGTTGGTAATTGATAAGCGTCATGAGATCTTGCTGCCATTTCAGATTTACCAATTTTTAAAAAGTTTGTGAAAAAAAAATCCGCTTCATCAACTGATTGGATTCATGTTATATGGTTACGAGATATTATTTTTGAATTGTTGTTACAAAGAAAGTAAAATACAAATGTCATATTTTCAATTTTTTTGATGAAAGCATTTGTTCCCCAAATAACTTTATCATATTTTGAAGTTGTTTTCAATATATGCAGTATATTTTAGTTTTTGTAATTTGAACAATTGCTGATAAACATGAGGTTATCAAATTCTACCTGCTGCCATTGCCTGAACCATTTATGACGAACCCCGCGACATTTTATTTATGCGGCCGCCATTTTGATTCATATTGTGAGGTACTGTTATTACAAAACATGCCATTGGCACCATTTAAAATGTCACAAATAAAGTTTAATGGCCCTTTCTGTTTACACGTGTATATGTACAATGTTCACAGCTCATAAAAGACGGACAATGCCGAAAATAAAAGATTTACTGTAAGAATTCGG